TATATATATTTCTATTAAATCAAAATTCCTTCTTTGTTTACAGGGGCCTGGCTGGCAAAGATGCCGAACCATTCAGAGTGTGGTGTTCAAAGATTGGTGAACTTCGCTCCTTTCTTGAGAATGTACCTCTTGTAGCCCTGACAGCCAGCTCCAAATCAGTTACAAGAAAGAAAATTATTGATGTGCTATCAATGCACCAATGTATAAATATCATTGCCAACCCTGACAGAAGGAACATCAAGCTACATGTAAGGGAAATTGAAAATGATATTCATAAGCATTTTTCTTGGCTTGTTCGTGAGTTAAAACTAAAAAGGGAACAGTCAGAAAGGGTCATAATTTATTGCAAATCAATAAGACAATGTACAGAATTCTTCMCTTTTTTCAAGTCTGAACTTGGGAAATCACTTTATATAGCAAATAAACCAGAGCGTGCACAATATAGACTTGTGGCAATGTACCATTCTTCCACTGACGAAAAAATCAAAAACTGCGTCTCACAGTCATTAACTGAACCTGATGGATGTATTCGTGTTGTAATTGCTACTTCAGCACTTGGGATGGGTATAGACATTAAAGGACTTCATACTGTTATAAATTATGGTCCCCCAAATTGTATCTAGTCTTACTACCAAGCATTTGGACGTGCAGGAAGAGATGGGGAGCAATCCCATGCAGTGATTCTTTATCACGGAAGACAGCTGAGAAAGTGTGATGCAGAAATGCTCACATATCTAAAGCATGATGGATGTAGAAGGGAACTACTCCTCAAATTCTTTGACACAAGTGTTAATTTAGAACCAGTTTTGCCAAAACATCTCTGTTGTGACAACTGTGTACCACAATGTTCATGTGGAGATAGAAGAGCATGTGACAAGTTCAACAGTTCTGTTGAAGATATTTCTGAACAAGCACCACTTGGTAATCTATTGGAAAGGTCAGTTACTGAAGAACATAGAGAGAGACTTGCAACAGCATTAATTCAGAAGACGGTAGAACTTTTCAAAAAAAAAAACAAGATGTTACGTTTTGCTCTTCTCTGGACTTGTTTACGACATTCTCTTTAAGTCTAGTTAATGAAGTTAAAAGTAAGTGCAATTGCTTATTTTCTGTTGATGATATTTTAAATAGAACTTGTGTTTATAGCTATGAACATGCACAAATCATCTTCCAGTRCTTAGCAGGTGTTTTCACAGACATGGAAGATGACAATGAATTTTATGATTTAGAAGTATAAGATGTACTGATCATTATTAAAGGGACATGGTCCACCAGCATTCAATGCGGTCATGTTTTAGATTTTTCATATATAGACAATAATGTGACTTCGAATTTCCATTCGCAATCTGTTTCCATCCATCAGTTTAAAGCTCAAATTTTACAGTATYTGCATTCATATTTTCTAAAGKGATAATAAAGAGTGTTTTTGCTTTTAAATACATGTATTACGATGTATTTTCAAACGTAAGCAAAAGCTAAAAAGGGATGCTGGTGGACCATGTCCTTTTAAACCAGTGAAACAAAATTTGTGTAGTATGATGGCCAAATAGATACAAAAGGAATCTAAGTTTTAATAATATTTCTGTTATTTATTACACCAAAGTTTGTAGTGCTACATAGTAAGTTCATGCTCTTCAAATCCATGATGACTTTTGGAGAGAAAAGGGGGGCTACAAGTTGTCATTAAGGGAGTT